GAAAAACAACGAATACTTGCTCGTGAAAGAAGTGCAGCTAGAAGAGCTGCATTGACACCAGAAGAAATCGAACGACAACGATCACTTACTCGTGAAAGAAATGCTGTTACACGAGCTACTCTTACACCAAAAGAAGTTGAACGACAACGTGAACTGGCTGCTGAGAGAACTATGGTCATACGAGCTACTGCGTCACCGAAAGTGGCTGAAGAACACCGTATACTAGCACGCAAGAGAAGTGTCGCAAGGCGAGCTAATTATACGACGGAAGAAGTTGAACAACAACGAGCATTGGCTCGCAAGAGAAGTCGTCTGCAAAGTAATCTGATGCAAAAACAAGTACCGAAGAAAAAAGAAACAAGTAAAAATGCTGAAGTTGAATGGCCGAAACCTGCTGATATGGAATGCAAGACTAACTGCTTGAAAAAATTCATTCAACAGATGTCTATGAACTCTCTAGCGGAAGGCGTATGTGGAGTATGCAATGTTCGTTGCTACAAACGTGATCTGAGACGTGTACCTTTGAATAAAATTCCATCGGTTGAATTGCTTAGAACACATGATGATCTTTGCAGTATAATTCCTGGTATACAGCAAACGAAGAACTTGCATTCAAATGAAAAGTACAATATGAATCACGATCTAGATCTGCCAACGTTTGGAGATGGAACAGAAACAGGTTTGTATTTTCCTTAGTCATAGCCACGAAACAAATCCAAATATTTTCGTTATAGATAGCGATGAGCAGTCGTCAATGAAGAACATATCATACACTTGTATAAACGATGTAGTTTTTTATAAACGAGGACTACATTACAGTTTCGATAAAAAGAAACGTTCTTTGATACACTGTGACATTTGTACGGAATGCTGGTCATCTTTGTCAAAGGAAAAAATACCGAAGTTTTCAGTTGCTAACAAATTATGGTTGGGTGATGTACCAAAGGAACTACAAGACCTAACCATTCCTGAGCAAAGACTTATTGCTATTTACCGGCATAACAGTTGCATTGTGAAACTGCATTCTTCTTTTAATTCAACAGCCACAGCGCAATCAGGCATAAAAGGCAACTGCATAAGTTTTCCACAAGATGTTGTTAACATTGCTGCTACATTGCCATTAGAATTAGATGACCTATGTGAATCTTTAAAAATCATTTTTGTCGGATGTCGCACTCCAGAAAGAAAGCAATTAAAAAATATTCTGACCGTTCGAAAAAATAAGGTTTCGAGTGCACTTCAATGGCTCAGGAAAAATAACCCACTCTATCGAAGTGTAGTTATTAATCAGTCCACAATCGATAAGTTACCTGACGATGACGTACCAGAGTGTTTATGGGCAACAATGCAAGTCTCCACCAATGTTGAAGCTTCTGAAAGTGAAAGAGCAAGTTATATTCCTGATCCTCTACTCAATGCATCTGAATACAACAATACGGCAGCTGTACCATTGATTCCAAGGTAACATGAAAAAAAGATACTCATATGTTTAAGTACTATTATTTGTGTTATAGTGCTGTTTTAGATGTTAATGGTACCAATATTTCAACTGATGACGTCGCTGAGCATTTATTAGAGCGAATGAAAGCGCAAATAACAGATAAAACACGTAAAACTGATCTTGAGGAACATGCTCCAGAAGATCCCGTGTATATGATTCCTCGTGGTAACAAACCGGTCAATGAATATTCTAATCCAAACCTATTATTGGGCATATTTCCAACACTTTTTCCATATGGATGTGGTGCAGTTGAAGATTTCTCTCGACCAGTGAAAATCGATTTTCGTGAGCATGCTAGATATCTGCTTTCGTTCGGAGATCGCCGTTTTGAAGAACACTACTCATTCATATTCGTCATGTTCAATATCTTACAACGTCGCACTGCATGCTTTCACGCCCATTTAATGGCATCAAGACCATACTTTCAACAATCTGCAGAAATCCTAGAATCATTGAGTTCTGCAGATATAGCAACAGCTCTTGTTAATATCTCAAAAGGAACGTATTCAAAAGTTACCGACCAAAGAATAAATACATTTATGAAGCACATCAGAGTTGTTGGCGGTCATGTTATGGGTTCCGCTCATTCACGATTGGCCCTTCGTACAAAAATTCACTCATTGTGTTTTAATATTGGTCTTCCTAGCCTTTTTGTAACAATCAACCCAGCTGACATACATAGTCCAGTGGCACTTTATTTTGCAGGCGTCGATCTAAACCTTGACAAAGTTTTGCCAGAAGCACTGAGCACAAGTTATGAACGTGCCAAAATTATCGCAACTCATCCAGTCGCTACTGCAAAATTCTTTAATTGTTTGATAAAAAGTATCTTGAAGTCTTTAGTGCTTGGCGGTGTGCTTGGCCCTGTAAAGGCATACTTTGGCACTGTAGAGAGTCAAGGAAGAGGATCGCTTCATTTACATCTTCTTATTTGGCTCAATCATGAGTTCACTCCAACGCAGTTAAAAGAAATGATTCAGAATGAAGACTTTCGTGAAAGATTACTTCAGTATTTAGAAGATATTGTAAAAGAAGATTTAGATCTATTTCAAGGTAATGTATACAGCTCCGTTCAAATCCGTGATTTGAAGTATTCGCAACTTTGTAAATCAGAAAGTTTCATACACAAGGATGCTTTTTTGTTGCTCCAGTCTAAAGAAGAGCTTTCACGAAACTTTCTGACAAGCACAGAATGCGTTCACTTCAAATTGTCGATTTCTTCTAAATTTAATAACTGTATTATGTCATTTATATTTTTATATTTATTATTTTTGAAGATCACGATGAAGAAGGAACAAATACGACAAGTGATAACGTACCATCTATTCGTGAGCTAATTGTTTTTATTATACTTTTAGTTTTGTTTATGTTTTAATTTTAGAAGAAACTGATCCAGTAGAAAATGAAGTTGCTCCAGCCTGTTTACCAACGCCAAATCCTGCTCATGATGACTTCGAACGAATGTTTCGCAAGGATATTGTGCGAATCGTCAAAACGTCCAATATTCATAAACACTCTGCAACGTGCTATAAATACGCGAAAGCAAAGCCGGATGGTTCGAAAACTTGTCGAATGCGCATGCCACGTGTCCTCATAAAAAAATCCAACATTGATGTCTCTACTGGTCAGATAACTATGCGCCGATCACATCCATGGATCAACAACTTCAATGAATGGCTAATAAGTGCTTGCCGATCCAATATGGATATTAAATTTATCTGGACTGGTAACGATGCTAAAGCTCTAGTGTATTATATAACTGATTACGTAACAAAATCAAGTCTGGCTTTCTATGATATGTTTGCTCTTGCACAACAAGGAGTCCAATCCGTCGAGCAGCAGCGACCGGAAAACGGAACCGACGACGCTATTGAAAAATCGTGCAAACTTATTTTACGATGTTATAATATGATCGCTTCACATCAAGAAGTTTCTGGTGTTCAAGTGGCGTCATACCTAATGAATTATGGTGACCATTACACTACACATACATTTAGAAATCTTTTTCTCATTTCGATCGAAAACTATCTGCAAACCGAACTAGTGAAAGCACAGCGAAATCAAAAAAGATTTGACGAAGAGGAACCAGATGGTAAAAGTTTTTTAAAATTATTGCACAAATATTAAACATGCGCTTTTTCTAGAGACGTCAGTCCACTTCGATGAAGACCAAGAAGAAGAGGTCAAGGAAACTGAAGAACAGTTTCTGTTGGAACCAACACAAACAAAAAACGGCAATAGTTACGTCATGGTGAATACTCGTCTTGACTATCAGTATCGATCAAAAGATCTAACTGCATTATGCCTGTATGATTTTGTTAGTCACTTTCACAAAAAGGTAATCGACAAATCAGATCGCCGTTTACTAAAAAATACCAATGGACATGAAGGTGAACGATTGTGTACAGAAGGGACAAAGATGAATGAACGACACACCTTTGCAAGTGCACATCCACAATCATCATCACATATCATTATTAAACGCTCTACTTCAGTTGTGCCAGTTCTTCTTGGTCCTCAAATACCTCGTCGTGAGCGAGAAGAAACATACGAACGTTATTGTCGTACATTGCTAACTTTATTTGTGCCATGGAGGTCAGTACACGATCTATGTGCACTGAATCAGACATGGGCGGAAGCACTGGAAGCTCAAAAATTATCGATCTCCGCCAGTGCGTTCAAGATTATTGAAAATATACAACTTTTGCATGAATGTAAAAATGATCGAGACGAACACCTCCATCAAATTATTGCCGAAGCACAAACGGAGACCAACATTGATCCTGTTCTGATTCCGAATAGCTATGAGGAAGATGAAAATAATTCGGAAGATGACTCGGTAGAACTCTTACAAATGCTCTCGTTGGTAAACGAGACTACCAGTAAACCTTATTCTGCATCCCTCAGCACTCATGAACAGCGTTATGTATGCGACGCATTGAGAGCAATTGATAATACGGACAGATTTGCATCATTAAATAGTGAGTTTATTTCTATTCAATGCCAATTATATTGGGTTTTATTTAGACTACAAAAATATATTGGACAGGAATGGCCATCGCATCGTAGATGATATGAATACATTTGTAATAGCTCATGCTCATCATGCAAGAATGATTAAGGAATGGAAACGTGACATTGAAACTAGAAGAGACCAAGCAAGAAGCTATTTAATTTCAGGTGAAGACACTTTGGAAGTACGAGATGATGATGTACAAGTTGAAGTCGTAACTTCCAAAATACCTACAAGTCCATTTAAAGCACCAATTGCCGTTGTACCACCTGTAACTGCATCTACAGCAGTTTCTTTCCCAACCAAATCAGATGTCATCAAGAAATTCACACTAAATGGTCAGCAGACGTTTGCTTTTATGATTGTTACTAGTCACTTAGATGGAGATAACCAATTTCACATCGGTATCTTTTTTTTATTTTCTCTTTATCAAAGATTATTAACCATAATGACTTTAGGCGCTACTGACAACCAGTTGCTAATGTGCGTACCTGGTTGTGGTGGTACTGGAAAATCACAATTGATTCATGCAATTACCAATTATTTTCAAATGACGAAGAGGGGCAAAATGCTGCGTAAATTAGCACCCACATCTATAGCAGCGGCAGAAATTGATGGATTAACAATCCATTCGTTTTTAGGTGAAGCTCGTAAAAACTCCAAAAAGAGACAAACAAGAACATTTAGACCCGGCGACATAAAGTTGGAAAATGCGTGGCGTCATGTGAAGTACTTAATCATCGATGAGATGAGTATGGTAGGACTTAGCCTATTAGCTCGACTCAATCGAATAGTGAAAACCGCGAAACATATCAATACAGATGCTCCTTTTGGTGGGGTAAATGTGATTTTTTTTGGCGACTACCTACAATATTCTCCGGTGTTGGATAAGCCACTTTACCATAGCTGTTCCTCTTCACAGCAATATACTGAACGTCAAATAGACATGCAATGTGCGCAGAAAGTGATCTGCCAAATTAATTGTGTCGTCGAATTGAACCAACAAATGCGAACTGAAGATAAACGCTATTTGGAACTTTTACATCGATTAAGAGATGGGAAATCAACAATCGAAGACTATGAACTTCTTTGTACACGAATTATCGGAACTCCCAATTTGAAGGCATCTTTGAAGCAGGACCCATGGAACGAAGTATGTTCGACCAAGTCTTTCTAAATTTAATCACATGTTTTACGATAGGCTCCTATACTGGTTTTTCGAAACACACTTCGAACTCAAATAAACAATCGAGCTGTGCTGAATAAAGCAATGGAGATGGGACACAGACCTATCGTTTGTGTTGCTCAAGATTATATAAATAATACAGCCATTGATGATGTCAGATTACGCAAAGCAATTCTCGAACTACCAGATAACAAGGCAGAGCACTTACCTGGATACTTACCACTTGTACCCGGAATGCCCGTTTTACTGACAGAAAATATTGCAACAGAGCTCGGACTTTCCAATGGTACACGCGGAATATTTCGTCAGCTCGTTTATGATGAGTGTTTTGACGATATTCAATTCGACGAAACACTTTTTCCAAAGCATACTAAGTTTATAACACAACCAAAATACGCTTTGGTAGAGTTCTCGAGCTGTAAGCCTGATTGTGGACTCAACGAGCTTGAAACCAAAGTTATTCCCATCTCTGTTAGCGAGCAAACTTTTCTATTTGATATCAAAGAGCTTCTTAGTGAAACTGTTTCAAAAGCCGCAAAAATGGCCAAGCAAACAACAAAAATCTCGATCAAGCGTAAAGCCCTTCCATTAATACCTGCCTACAGTATAAAAACACATAAAAGTCAGGGCCAAACATTGGGCAAAATTATTGTTGATCTTGTCACACCTCCTGGTCCAGTTGAAGTCGCATCGATTTATGTTCCATTATCCCGTGTTAAACGTCTTGATGATCTTTTGATCGTGCGACCTTTTGAATTCTCATCTCTACAAGTGAAACCATCAGCAGCACAACTGCAGGAACTCAAGCGATTAGACATGATCGCAAAAAAAACTCAAAAAAGTTTTGCTTCATTTCTTTAGAAAACTCATTTCTTATTATCGTTCTCATTTCATACTAAGCTGCGAACCATGACACATTTTTTATTCACAGCGTTATTCCTTTCTTCTTCTTTCAAGTTTTGCTTTCTCCCATGTTAATCACTATTGTATAACTAAATTCTCAAAATAAAACTTTCATGAATAGATTACCAAACAAGGAAAAGTCAGTTTTTGCACTCAACTCCGAATTCTACACTCAGTTACGAGATATACCAGTGCTGGTACAGTATCTTACATCAGTATAAAACCACATACAAATCCATAGCAACCAGCAAACCTCCTGTCAAGTCTCCGTATCAAGAAACTGGTATCATCGATTGCGTTGGTTTCAACTCCACTTTTCACGATAAAGCATCGCCTTCATTGGAAACGGTCAGCGAAATGTGACCTAGATTCAACGAGGCACTGCAAGATCTCATATTGCGAGAAAAAATGAAAGCACTTCAGTGTTTCGAAAGCATCAAGCGTGGCATGCAAATGCTACCGAAACCTGCACTCCATGCACCAATTCAGCGTTTTCATCTCAGACAATTTCTAAACGCCCAAGTGACTTCGCCGACTCTATAAAGTTTCAGCGCAGCTTGCTCGCGAAGGAGAACACCTTAAAATCGAAAACAAACACTACAAAGTGTTCATAAACAGTACCCGATCCGAATTCCTCCACTCCGAAAACCTTCCGTCAAACTCTATAAAAAATCGATTTTTTCCTAAAATAATGTTTTTTTATAAAAAA